TTTTTTTTTTAAAATGCCAAAAAAATGGCATATTACTCTTTGAGAATGTCAACATTTTCATTGTTTCTTCCATAAATATGGCATTTGTAATGGATGTGGCATTTTTTCCCTGGTGACTGGAGATGGTGGTGCTGGGGAGGCGGTGTTTTTTTGCATTTATTTTTATTTTTATTCTTCAATTTTTTGTAAATTATTATTATTTAAATATTTTTATTAATTTTTAATATTTTTTTACAAATTTTTATTATTTTTTATTTTATTATGAATTTAAACGTTTCAATAGCAGCAAGGGTATATTTGTCCAACACACACATAATTTGTCCCATTAAAACATAGTTTACTTTTTTGTCCTATTTATGCAAACTAACAAGCTTTTAGTCCTGTTTTCATAATTAACCCATTAAAATTTGTATTGTTGCTATACCAATTTCATTACTTAATTTAGTTAATTATCTAAGCTTAATATTATTTATACAATTCATTACAATTTCACAACGCATGATGTACATTTATACGAAACCAAGAGAAAGGAGAGCTTTGGTTTCTCTCTAAAAACATAGCGACCGTCTTCCCTCTTTGTAGGGGTTGAAATTTTCTGTCATCCCATCAATATGGGGTTGGAGTGGTAGATTGTTCTGATTTAAGTGTTCTGCCGCTTGGGATTACAACTATGTCAGAAGAGATAACCTTGGTCGGCCGCTCCGATGGTGGTCGAGTTTGTATTCATGCATATTGCAAGAGCTCCTTCTCCTCCAGAACCACTTCCATACCAGGAAGAGTTTTATCGAAAGATTTTATTTCATTATTATTTTCTTTTTAGTAGTACTAGTTTTAGTTTTAGTCAGAGTGGATTTAATTTGAATGTTTCAATTTTCGAAGTTATTTTGATAGGTAGGGTTCGTTTTAGGCTTAAATTTGTCCGTTTCAGGTTTAGCGAGTCAGATTGCTTTGTATGAGGTGACTGATTCTATGTCTACTCTTAGGATTCACGCTTGGGTCTGTAAATCTGTCTGAAGATTGTCTTGTATACGTTCTTGATTTTAATATAAAGCCGCCTGTTTTACGATCAAAATAATAACACATGATGTACATTTGTGATCCTTCTATTTCCCCCACCCTATTTCCATAAATTGTTTCTCTATTTCTCTTGTTGACCTCTCCCACTTATCATCAGTCACTACCTCCCCGAGGTTTGTGATTGTCCAATTTATGCGTACGTGCAGTGGCGGAGCCAGAGATTTTTCGAAGAGGCGCACACCGAAAGTTAAAATTTATGGTGTGTTTTCTCAAAATGAAATTAAAATAATAAAAAATGTAATACATTAGCGCAAATTAGTCATTTCTACTGGACTCATATCTATAATTTGGGTAAACCAATCATACGAGTTTTAATATGTTCAAAATTTTGCATAGGAAAACGAGCTTATGGGACTCTTGTACACACATCTACACATTCAAAACTCAAAATGTTTTCATAGAAACGAGCACTCTCACCCCTATCTATACTAATCTCGTCAAAGCTTCTTTAGAATTTTTTATACACCATTACACATCTACATTCTTCCAACAAGTATCCACAAGCTTCTCTAATGTAATGGAAGATTTAGAGAATTCCACAATTCTTTAATATGTTTTAAAGGCTTCCACACTCTTCTGCACGGTTTACTGAGTTACACACTTTTATAGAAAACTTACCATTTTTATTCTAGAACATTTAATACTTCTCTACACACATATACAAAATCCGAGACATCTTTGCTAGTTCTAAAATTCTCATGAATTTTTCTATTAAGGAGAGAATCCAACACATAATCACAATACTCTATTGCACTATAACCACGAAAAGTCAACCTGTGTGGCGTTAAAGGTCTAAAACAATCCACACTTTCATTCAAATGAGTGACGTATGATGCAATCAATATGTACTTGTATTCGTAGGGACACGTTTCCTGAAAGATTTTGCCTTTTGTTTTAATATTCAATCTAAAATTGTCTTTATTGAGTATTTTTTTTTGAAAAATATAATGAAGGGGAACATTAAATATATTATAAGTAGCAGTACTAATTTTTTTGGCCCGAAGCAGGGGCGCTTGTCCCTCCATGCCCCCGCCCAGCTCCTCCACTGCGTACGTTTGCTTGCGTTTTCGTGTAGTTATCTTCAATTCTTGGAAAAAATAGGTAGATGGCGCAAATTATACCGTGGGATCGGCCCACCTTTAGCATGGTGTGCCGATCCCAAAAACGACATCACTTTATCGGTTAGATACAAAAACAACCTCTTGCAAAACTAAACAGAACGATCGATCTTCCGCCGCAATAGTAAGGAGCAGCACCGACTGGAGCCACCACTTCATCGTTTTTATAGAAGCTCTTCAATCTCTGCTCTTCAACCTGCCGCAGCAGTAAGGAGCGTAACCCTTGATGTTGATCGATGGAATTACACATCATAAGTTTCTAACTTTCTAAGCAGAACCCTTGATGTTGATCGATGAAATCATGGAATTACGCATAACCCTTGAAAGCATATTCCCTTGCTTTCATTTAACATCTAAGCTGCGTTTTAATCAAATTCAATTAATATAAATTTTTTCATTTTGATGTTGATCGATGGAATCAATTGGTATATATATGTGCGCGCGCGTGTGTGTTTAATACATGAAGTTACATATTTTTATACTCCATTTACATGTTTATGTGCGTGAGTTACATCTGTTTATGAGCGAGTTACATTTGTGTTTGTCTCAACAAGTTACTTTTTGCATACACGTAAGTTACATTTTCTATCAACATGAGTTACATTTAGCCTAACACGAGTTACATCACAAATAACCTCTGTTGTTGAAACAACAACAAAAGATTTTTTTTCAAATAATTATTATGTCTCTGATATTAAAAACAAAACATATTCACTATTTATGTAAAGTAATCGAGCAACCAGACTCTTTTTTTCATTGTTTACTGTTGAGTTTAATCCAACACGATATAGTAAATATATGTATAAATGTGTATGAACAACTCAGTTTTTACGTGGAAACCCGAAAGGGAGAAAACCACGGGACTTTTTAGGCTAATGTCCAAGCCCTCTCAATTCTCATTAGGCTCTCCTCACCATTACATTATACAAGCTTGAAGCTCCCATTAATGGAGTATTATCTAATCTAGAGAAGAAGAAGCATGAAGAAGGAGGAAAAAAGGGATCCTTCATATGGAGGGAAACCCCCATATTTATAAGGAAAGGGGATGGGAAGTACTCTCCACCCTAATGGGCCAAGTGGGCCGAAACAGGCCCAAAGGCTAAAGTGGGCCGGATGGGCCGAAATGGTCCTAACTGTTCAGGCTCCGTACTGGATAATATCTTGGGCTCTTGAACAGTAATAGGCCGGGATAATATATCCCAACACAAGTCCCCCAGTTTCTTGAGTAGTGAGCGTGCGAATCTGCTCGAGAAAATATACTCTTGCCTGCGCTTTACCTCGGTCTAGCTGGGACCTGTGTCTTCGAATAATCATAATATATGAGTGGATGTCCACACTCCTGAACGTAATCTGCCGGTGAGGCACCCCCGTTCCCGATGGGGTCGGGCGAAAGGTGCTCCTCCACGGGCACGCTCCCCCTGAATGCATCAGGCGAGAGTAAAGGACTCTGACTCGAGCTTTCCAACGGAGAAGCTTAGAGGTCCATGCATCTATAAACCGACATCGCGGTACTGTCAAAACATGATGCACGTGTGTATGTATGAATGTATGAGGTATGATGCATGAATGCATGAATGCATGTAATGTATGAGTGCAATGTATGAGAGAAGGAATGTGAGATGTGATAGAAAGCGGTGGCTCTCATCGATAAACCGGGCATGTCAGCGCCGAGAGGCAGACGTGCTGCACAAGAGACGTTCGTCGCCATCCTGGAAGGGATGGGCGACCCTAACGTGAGCCAGACACGATGGCGCTGGGGCGCTGATCGTGCTGCATAAGAGACGTTCGTCGCCATCCTGAAAGGGATGGGCGACCCTAACGTGAGCCAGACACGATGGCGCTGGGGCGCTGATCGTGCTGCATAAGAGACGTTCGTCGCCACCCTGAAAGGGATGGGCGACCCTAACGTGAGCCAGACACGATGGCGCTGGGGCGCTGATCGTGCTGCATAAGAGACGTTCGTCGCCATCCTGAAAGGGAATGGGCGAGCCGAACCGTGAAGCCAGGCACGATGGCGCTGAGGGGCCGATCGCACTGCATAAGACGGTCGTCGCCATCCTGGAGGGAATGGGCGAGCCGAACCGTGAAGCCAGGTACGATGGCGCTGAGGGGCCGATCGCACTGCATAAGACGTTCGTCGCCATCCTGGAGGGAATGGGGCGATCCGAACGTGAAAGAGACACGATGGCGCTGAGAAGCCGATCGTGCTGCATAGGACGGTCGTCGCCATCCTGAAGGGAATGGGCGAGCCGAACCGTGAAGCCAAGTACGATGGCGCTGAGGGGCCGATCGCACTGCATAAGACGTTCGTCGCCATCCTGGAGGGAATGGGGCGATCCGAACGTGAAGCCAAGTACGATGGCGCTGAGGGGCCGATCGCACTGCATAAGACGTTCGTCGCCATCCTGGAGGGAATGGGGCGATCCGAACGTGAAAGAGACACGATGGCGCTGAGAAGCCGATCGTGCTGCATAGGACGGTCGTCGCCATCCTGAAGGGAATGGGCGAGCCGAACCGTGAAGCCAAGTACGATGGCGCTGAGGGGCCGATCGCACTGCATAAGACGTTCGTCGCCATCCTGGAGGGAATGGGGCGATCCGAACGTGAAGCCAAGTACGATGGCGCTGAGGGGCCGATCGCACTGCATAAGACGTTCGTCGCCATCCTGGAGGGAATGGGGCGATCCGAACGTGAAGCGAAGTACGATGGCGCTGAGAAGCCGATCGTGCTGCATAGGACGGTCGTCGCCATCCTGAAGGGAATGGGCGAGCCGAACCGTGAAGCCAGGTACGATGGCGCTGAGGGGGCCGATCGTACCGCATAAGACGTCTGTCGCCATCCTGGAAGAGATGCGCGATCCGAACGTGAAAGAGACACGATGGCGCTGAGAAGCCGATCGTGCTGCATAAGACGGTCGTCGCCATCCTGGAGGGAATGGGCGAGCCGAACCGTGAATCCAGGTACGATGGCGCTGAGGGGCCGATCGTACCGCATAAGACGTCCGTCGCCATCCTGGAAGAGATGCGCGATCCGAACGTGAAAGAGACACGATGGCGCTGAGAAGCCGATCGTGCTGCATAAGACGGTCGTCGCCATCCTGGAGGGAATGGGCGAGCCGAACCGTGAAGCCAGGTACGATGGCGCTGAGGGGCCGATCGTACCGCATAAGACGTCCGTCGCCATCCTGGAAGAGATGCGCGATCCGAACGTGAAAGAGACACGATGGCGCTGAGAAGCCGATCGTGCTGCATAAGACGGTCGTCGCCATCCTGGAGGGAATGGGCGAGCCGAACCGTGAATCCAGGTACGATGGCGCTGAGGGGCCGATCGTACCGCATAAGACGTCCGTCGCCATCCTGGAAGAGATGCGCGATCCGAACGTGAAAGAGACACGATGGCGCTGAGAAGCCGATCGTGCTGCATAAGACGGTCGTCGCCATCCTGGAGGGAAAGGGCGAGCCGAACCGTGAGTCTGGACACGATGGCGCTGAGGGGCCGATCGTGATACAGAAAATAGTGATGATCATCTCATGGCCCTCGGCCTGTCGGTGAGTGGTAATCGTCCCACGGCCCTCGGCCGTGCTGGTGATGTGTCAAGTCTCTCTCCTGATTGGCTGTGAGAAGCCGATCGTCTGCCAGGACTCCATCCGGGAAGGAATGGTGAGCCTGAAATAAATCTGGGCGATGTCCCTTCTACCTGATCTGGGGAGCTAATTGTCGTTCGAGGCAAAAGAAAGCCTGATGTTAGCCGATCGTCGTCGGCCACTTCATTCTTCGTACTTAAGTCTTGTAATTATTCTTTACATATGTTTTTCAGTTTGTACTTCACAGCCAATAGTGCCAAGGGATAAAATCATTCTTTGCTCCGTGCTCTTCTGGCATCTTTTTTTTTTTTTTTTTTTTTTTTTTTTTTTTTTTTTTTTTTTTTTTTTTTTTTTTGGAGTCTTTTAGTCTTCGTTCGTCATTGGTCCTTGGTCCTACCGGCGTTCTTACATCGAAGAGACGTTCGGTATCCGCGGACATCGCAATGAGGAACAGGTATATCTACATCGAGATTCCCCCTTTTTCGTTCGTCCCTGGTCCTTTTAGTCTTACCGGCGTCTCTTGCATCGAAGAAGACGTTCGGTACCCAAGGAACTCGCAGGGACGAACTGGTTTACCCTCACGGGTTCCCGTCTTTGTTATCCCACGTCCATCGATCCATGGTCATTGTGGGATGAACAGGTTTATCTTGGCAAGGCTCCCTTGGTTCGTCTAGCCCCCTCCGCGTCTCTACTAACCTCTACATCGAGAGGCGTTCGCCTTCGGCGGTGGGAGAAGATCTGGCACACCCGGGCAAGATTCCCTTCCACATAGGAGCTACCCTCCTCTTCTCCCCATCTTCTTTTTTTTTTTTTTTTTTTTTTTTTTTTTTGAGGGAGGCAATCTATACTCTTCGTTCGTCATTGGTCCTTGGTCCTACCGGCGTTCCTACTTCGAGGAGACGTTCGGTATCCGCGGACATCTCAATGAGGAACAGGTTTATCTGCATCGAGATTCCCTGGTGCTTCGTTCGTCCTTGGTCCTTGGTCCTACCGGCGTCCCTACTTCGAGGAGACGTTCGGTATCCGCAGACATCACAAGGAGGAACAGGTTTATCTGCATCGAGATTCCCTGGTGCTTCGTTCGTCCTTGGTCCTTGGTCCTACCGGCGTCCCTACTTCGAGGAGACGTTCGGTATCCGCAGACATCACAAGGAGGAACAGGTTTATCTGCATCGAGATTCCCTGGTGCTTCGTTCGTCCTTGGTCCTTGGTCCTACCGGCGTCCCTACTTCGAGGAAGACATTCGGTATCCAAGAAACTCGCAGGGATCACGGGATGTCACACATAATGGTAGTGGCATACCAAAACGAATAAAATGACGAGGCGACGGAATAGCTGGTCGTCATGCGAAGGCGATGGTCACCCTCCTGGAGGGGAGGGGTGAGCCCGATCGCTAACTCAAGAAGGTCGGCATTGGGAGCCGATATACAATGATCATAATATCGCTGAGCAGTCGGTCCTGATAATGGAGATGGCAATAGTGTCCAGTCAGGCCGATATATCCGAGCAACGGCTCTCATCCAACGCAGCGCGGGGATGAAACCGGTCTTCAAAAGATAAATATGTCGTGCCGAGAGGCCGAACATAACATGATAGTGTCGGCAGTGAGAGGCCGACCCGAAAGAATCAAACAACGGTCCTCGTCCGCGGGGTGGCGGGGACGAGGCCGGTCTTCAAGAGATAAGCACGCCGAGCCGAGAGGCCGGTCGTGGTATAATGGTGTCGGCAATGAGCGGCCGATCTGAGAAAATCAGGCACGGTCCTCGTCCGCGAGGGCGGGGACGAGGCCGGTCTTCAAATATGATAATCACGCCATGCCGAGAGGCCGGTCATGATATGACGATATCGGCAATGAGAGGCCGATCTGAGAAAACAAGCAACGGTCCTCATCCGCGCAGTGCGGGGACGAGGCCGGTCTTCAAATATGAACACGCCGAGCCGAGGGGCCGGTCATGATATGACGATATCGGCAATGAGAGGCCGATCTGAGAAAACAAGCAACGGTCCTCATCCGCGCAGTGCGGGGACGAGGCCGGTCTTCAAATATGAACACGCCGAGCCGAGGGGCCGGTCGTGGTATGATAATGTCGGCAATGAGATGCCGATCAAGATATGGTCAAGCAACGGTCCTCGTCCGCGAGGTGGCGGGGACGAGGCCGGTCTTCGAATATGGTAATCACGCCGGTCCGAGAGGCCGGTTGTGATATAATGATGTCGGCGATGAGAGGCCGAACATGATGTGGCAGTGTCGGCAATGAGGGTCGACCTGCAATCCAGCAACGGCTCTCATCGGCGCAGTGCGGGGACGAGGCCGGTCTTCAAAAGATAGGCACGCCAAGCCGAGAGGCCGGTCGTGGTACGACGGTGTCGGCAATGAGAGGCCGACATGAAAGAACCAAGCAACGGTCCTCATCCGCGCAGCGCGGGGACGAGGCCGGTCTTCAAAAGATGAACACGCCGAGCCGAGGGGCCGGTCGTGGTATGATAATGTCGGCGATGAGAGGCCGACCTGAAAATCAGGATGGTCTCACGGCCCTCGGCCGTGATGGTCTCCTCTAGGCCCTCGGCCTCTGAATGATGGATGATCGTCTCACGGTCCTCCGCCGTGGTAGTCCACTATAGTCCTCGGCCTCTAGGTGTTCTCTCCTAGGCCATCGGTCTCTGGAGTGGAGATGCTCGTCTCACGGTCCTCCGCCGTGGTAGTCCACTATAGACCCTCGGCCTCTAGGTGTTCTCTCCTAGGCCATCGGTCTCTGGGGTGGAGATGCTCGTCTCACGGTCCTCCGCCGTGATGGTCTCCTCTTTAGCTGGCCCTGAACGTCTTCAAGACTCGGGCCGAGCGTCTTTTAATCATTTCACTCGAGCGCGTCGAGTGATTTCAGCTGCGCAATAAGCATGGTAACGGCCACATGGCCCAACAATAAATATGCACACATAACCATCTGCATGGCTTCCTCTTTAACATCCACGAATACCGGCCTATGGGTCATCGTGACCCTCGGCCCGGCTCATCGTGCGGGACTAATGGATGTAGCAGCTCGCGGCGGGGCCAACTGGCAGCCCGCCGAACGTCACATAGAGATATCCATCGGTCTGTGAGTTTTCAAACTCAGACCCAAGTTGGTCACACTGCCCTCGGAAAAACGAGGTGGAGTGCTTTGGTGCCCTCGGGCCCCAATGGCCACGTTTGGCAATAGTCATTTCGCGCCTAATGGCGTAGATGATATTGGGGTACGATCGTCGATCGGGCACGTAGTGCCGTGCGGACTACTGCGCGACCCTCAAATTAAAATGCGTCATCGGGGCATCGCCCTACTGGAGACGCTCGGACCGCTTAATCAAGCTGATCGAGAGTGGGCCAATGGGCCCACAAGAAATTAAATATTCAACAAAATGTTGGCTGAACCAACCACCACTAGGGCTTCGCTCCACATTCTTTAATTCGGGACATTTTTATCCCTCAATAAATAATAGTGGTGTAACAGGTAATAGCAGTGATATTTTCCTATCAAAGGCCATTCAGGTATGCTCCGTTCGCTAATAAAAGTCGATCAGGAGCGGGCCGGTGGGCCCACAACAACCAGTCATTAATTAAAATGACGGTGAAATTAAATATCACTAGAGCTTTACTCATCTGAGCTTGCTCGACATTATTTAATTTCGGGAAAAATTTACTCCCTTTTAAATAATGGTGATAAAAATACTAGCAATACTAATATTTTAATTAGTTAACTATTAAATGTACCAACTTGAAAATAGCATATGTACTTAGCTGTTGGAGATAAAGCTTCGGCCAGCTTTTGGAGATAAGCATATGTACGTAGGATTGTGGAGTCACATTTGGTCATCCCTCTCCAATTTTGACTTGGTCAAAATTGCTCCAACCTTTACCCGTCTGGCAACCATTAGTCCGTGGATGTGGTCTTCTGAGAACCAAGTTAAAATGACCGGTACGCAGCACTCCGCATCACCACCCCAAGGACAGTCTGCCAGCGTCCGCCACTTTACCGAGGGAGGTATGCAGCGGAGCAAGGAAGGCCACAGGGTCCGGTTTCGTGGGAGACCCGCCAAGCTTCGAATCTACCTTCTATGAGCTCCAAACCGCCGTCAATGGCGGAAATCTGGGAGGTCCCCGTCGGCAGCGAAGTGTGGAGTCGAGCAGTGACTGCAGGTGCTATGAGGGAGATCGATGGGGAAGCAGGCCTCGAGCGGCAACCGGAGACCTTGTGATGGAGGCGGAGGGGAGAGTTGCGGCCTGCGAGAAACGGCCGGCGTGGGCCATCACTCTGAGTCCACCGGCAGGCATGGCTATCCTCTCAAATAACAGTATGTGAACCGATGGCAGCTGCGAGCTCTGGTTGATGGCAGCTACCATGGACGGTGAAAGCAGCTTCCGTTGGATCTGGCCAACTTCAGAGATCCCAGACTAATTATTTCCTCGTCCTTGCTAAAGCCCCAGATCCTCTGGAAGACATATTTTTCCTCACTGAGAATCAGTCCATTTTCGAATGAATTTTGTTGTAGAAACTGAAGAACAACGTGAATCTTTTTGGACAGATTCCCACAGACGGCGCCAGTGTTGAGTTTAATCCAACACGATATAGTAAATATATGTATAAATGTGTATGAACAACTCAGTTTTTACGTGGAAACCCGAAAGGGAGAAAACCACGGGACTTTTTAGGCTAATGTCCAAGCCCTCTCAATTCTCATTAGGCTCTCCTCACCATTACATTATACAAGCTTGAAGCTCCCATTAATGGAGTATTATCTAATCTAGAGAAGAAGAAGCATGAAGAAGGAGGAAAAAAGGGATCCTTCATATGGAGGGAAACCCCCATATTTATAAGGAAAGGGGATGGGAAGTACTCTCCACCCTAATGGGCCAAGTGGGCCGAAACAGGCCCAAAGGCTAAAGTGGGCCGGATGGGCCGAAATGGTCCTAACTGTTCAGGCTCCGTACTGGATAATATCTTGGGCTCTTGAACAGTAATAGGCCGGGATAATATATCCCAACATTTACATTGAAATCAATGTTTTATTTCTTATACTATGTATTTGACAAGTCACATTTCGCCTGGACTTGAGTTACATCGATCAATAACGTGAGTTGCATTAATTTACACGGGAGTTACATCATTCATTCTACTGGGACAACAAAACAGTTACTTTTCACGCGTTATTGTTCACGCATTACTGTCCATCCGATATTTTTTTTAAAAAAAAAACTATGTGAAACTACGTCGTTTTGGGTATGGGAGCATGACGAGCACTTTGTCACGGTGCGTCAAAATAATATTCGATACTAGCACTTATACGTAGTATATGTGAAGTAGAGTTCGTATCCACATGGAAAAGAATAATTCTCTTTTTAGTAAAACTAGTAAATAAGGGGGGGTTTGGGATTAATTGATTTAATTTAATTAAGTACGAAAATGAACGACTTATATGAGATTTAATTCAAAGATAAAAAGGACTTGGCATTGCTACTTTCCACTTGTTGATATATTTTAGTTGATCATTGTTATTTCTATGACTCCAGCGTTTTCTCTCATCCATACAACGTTATAAAGATGAAAAACGTTGAGAGAGTCTCTCTCCTGGGTTTCACGACCGAGTTCGTTTTTCCGTATTGATTCTGAGAAATTCGTGGTCGATGTTGATTGCTTCTTGCTATTTGAAGTCGTAATCCCATCTAAAACCTAAATTCATCCTTGGATTTGAGTTAGGAAGGTGGATTTATGCCCAAAACCCAGAAAACAAAGGTTAGAAATCACGATAACATTGTTCACGTTTCTTGAAGTTTTCGCTAAATACCAGGATTAGGTTGCTGTTACCTTGAAATTGGGACTGGTTTGGGATTCCCCACCTCAAGGCGAGCCTAGTCATCCTATTTTATGATTGTTTGGAAGTCAAGCTACATGTACTCAGTTTAATCGACGACCTCCCCTGGGCCTGAGCTGTGGGTGAAGACGAGCACAGTGTAGCGAACTGCTTTATTCTAAGGATGGTTTCAATACTACGCTCAGATGATACCTTCTGATTTTATCAATCGATTTGAGTTTGATTGTGTTAATTGGAACTTGGTTGGATTTCTTAGTTTCCTTGGTGAGGTAGTCTGATGTACCCCTTGTCAACTATTATGGCGAGGAAGAAGATTGTGGAGCCACCAACAGTGCGAGCTACTAGGTCCAACTTGCCATCCTTGCTGACATTGATGAAGAATTCCCAGTTCTTCCCTCTAGGAAGAAACAAGCTGGGGCGAATTCCAGTAAGGCAGGGAAGTTTCACGCTCCTGTAAAAAACTCTACTGTTGCAGTAGATAATTCTGGGATTTTTGGTAATAGCAAGGCTGGGCAGACTGCCCCAGTCCAGACAGATGTTATTGATGCAGGAGCTTCATCTCCTTTGGTGCCAATTAAGGTAACTGTTTCAAACAAAATTATTGAGAATCATTCTGTACGACTGTACTGATCAAGCAGGTTCAACATGTCAGTTTCTTTAACACACAAAGAACAGAACTCTCTCTGTTCCAAAAATAAACTAATTTTCCTACGTATTAACTTGTTTTGGTGATGTTCACTCCTCAAAGTGTTAGTCTAGATGGTGCGAGCATAACCACTAAAAAAGTAAAAAGCATACGGAGTATAAGTTATGGTAAAGCTCTTATCAACACGGGAAAACGGAAGGAAAATCAATATCCAATTTGCATTTAATTTTCATAAACTTAGTCAAAAATCAATATTAGAATGATATTAGTAAAAACTTAGTCAATATCCAAACTTGTAGTCAACCTTTTTAATCTGCCGATATTAATTTTTGTAAAAATGAAAGTTGAGTGTAACCATTGGTTTCCATCTTTTCATTTTAGTCCCTAGGGACAAGGTAGTGTCAATTCTTTCGTTTGTAAAAATGAGAGTTGAACGTACTTTTTCATTTTAGTCCCTAGGGACAAGGTAGTGTCAATTCTTTCGTTTGTAAAAATGAGAGTTGAACGTACTTAAAGCATGACTTTAAGCAATTTATGTGTGACTACTTTAGTATGTTTCTATAATAGGGATTTGTATTGCTTTTGTAGATTTTCTGCTATATAAATTCCAGTTCAAGCAAACATTTGGATGACAATTTGTTGAGAGATGGATGAATTTAAAATGCAGAACCATAACAATTTTTTGTTGTATGCAGTCATTTGTGCTGATTATATGTTCTTTGGATAGTTTACTCGTATCCCGACTAAATATTAGAAAAAATCTATCCTACATAAATAATATTGGACAATTACACAATTGCGCAACGCACATGTAATAAAGGTTTGAACTTTTAGGCTCAGCTGAAGGATCTGAAGGCGGAGTTCCCTTCACTCTGAGTTGCCAAGGTCACTGGCGGCTCCCCCAATAAGCTCTCAAAGACTAAGGTGGTGAGGATTTCAATTGCTCAAGCGTTAACTATGATTTTCCAGACACATGAAGTGTCACTAAGGACAGCTTACAAGAACTAGAAGTATTTCCCCTCGATCTACGTCCTAGGAAGACCTGAGACATATGCAGATGCCTCACTAAGCACCGAGCATCTCTAAAGACCGAAAGGCAGAAGAATCCAAAAATGTTTCCCTTTAAGAAAGTATGCTAGCTATTAAGGTTTAATTGTTAGACAAGTATTTCCCTTTAAGAAAGTATGCAATTAAGGTTTAATTGTTATAATTATGTACGTAGTGAGTTGTGTGGCTGAACACGGAGGATGCTACTCAGCCTCTTAACTTGTTTTTGTTTTGATATAACCATACAACACCAATATGTTACATTTTTTTGTTCTCAAGTTTTTTTTACCATTTAGAAATTATTATAGGTCAAAGACATGATTATAATTTTCCCGATGTGGTGAGGATGGTCGTTTATGAGATATGTTGCATTTCCTATTGAGTGTTTGGACTAATACCTGTTAATCTTGTACATAACTTTTTTGGTTGAAGTTGTGTATATTTACATTTCATTCTAAAAGTAATGCATCAAACAATTGTATTATGCACATCTTTTCGCAACAATAGCCCCGATAAAAGATGTATGCCAATTTTATATGGATGATACAATATTGGGCATTCTCCCCATCACGCAAAGCACGTTACAAAAACTACTTAAATATATATGTAAGGGATTGGGTAGAATAAAGCGTAGCTAAAATATCAATGAAAAGAAAACATTCTCGGTAATCCCTCGATAGAGAAATTTTTGTAACTGCTTTTTCACTATTAAATTAGCTAATACGGAGTATTTAAATAATCCGTGTATTCTAATCTCCAATCCCTAGTTTATTCTTCCCGCCAGCTCCTACTTACTTTCTCCATAAGTGAATATTGTGTGAAAATGACTAAAATAGTACTACCTCCGTCCCATATTGGTTGTTCACTTTCAATTTGGCACGCTTATTAATAAAGTGGTTGAAAAGTAAATTGTGGTTGAAATTTGAGTAGAATAAATTGAAATGATAAGAACCACATATTTCTTGCCAAAAAAGGAAACAAGACATTCATTTTGGGATAACCAAAAAGGGAAAGTAAGACATCCAAAATGGGACGGAGGGAGTATCATTTTAGCAAAGAGAATTTCAAAATAATACTTCTAACGTAGCTAAAATGATATACTCCGTACAGTTTTATTTTGTTGTTGATGAACATAATTCATTTTCATTCTGATATCCTCACTATTATTAATTTCTTATAGAAAATAGAACTTTTAATGAAAATCATGGCATACAAATTTTAAACATATATTCATAAACTTTAAATACTTTCTCATCAGTATCATTAACAAATAAACTAATTCCAATCCATCAATTAAATTCACTCTTCCAATTTCGCGGTTTCAAACATTGACATTTGACCTCTGTCCACGAATGCCATATTTATAAAAAAATATACACTTATAAAATTTATTTATAGTAAAGTAACACTTCAATAATATTAATATATATTGAAATGAAATATTCCAAACTGTTTTTACGTTACTTGATAATATTTGAATGCTCAAATTAAACTTAATAAAATTTAACTCAAAAGAGTGAAATATAAACTTAATTGTGGGATCAAAACTGATGCTGGGAGTATTTGTATCTAGCAAGAAAGAATCTGTATATACAGGCTATGATAAGCTAAGGCACAAAGTAACCTTATGAGCCCGTTTGTTTTTCTGCGGGTTGGTGCTACACGCTGCAAAATGCAGCGTTTTGTAGTTCAAGTAATTCAGCGTTTTGAAGGAAATACTATTATCCAAACGGGACCAATAAGTTTTCAACTTTCTTAGAGTACATTTCTTATTTTTCATATTTAGCTCACGTCACTAATGTTTTTTGCTTAATATAATTAGTATTCAGCTCACTCCCATCCAAATTTGTAGATCTGCCCCTATTATTTAGCTTTGGTAATTAAGAGGAGGGACTTTAAATTTGATATCATATCATTTGTGGTAAATTAAATACTTCCTCCGTTTCTTTTTAATTGCAACAGTCAACATTTCACGTTTGCCAATGCACAAGTTTGACCATTAATACTACCTTTCATTCCTTATTAGTAAAAAAATTAAAAAATTCATATTTTGAAAATTTAGAATGAGAAGAATTTAATAATATTTTTTAAAAATTTAATTTATTATACATCAATTAATAAAATGTAGTCAAAGTAGAATATGTTAATAGTGCAAAAAGTCCAGGGTTGCAACTAAAAGAGAACGGAGGTAGTACATATATATACGCAACTCCCAATAATAAAATACCCAAGAGAAATTAAAGATGCTAATAATTAATGAAATATGAGAAGAACTAGAAAAATCACTATCAAGCTAGCTAGAAGGTACATCACTTGCTAGGAAAGAGTTGAACATTATCCGGCCGTCACCACTAAATTGACAGCACTCTCTCAACTGCTACCGACCAACCGTGAATTCGGCGGGAAAAACCTTCATTCCTTAGTTGTCTTTCTCCTCCTGAATTTCTGCCGGAATATCCGGCTCGCCTACGTACGTTGCTTATCGCCGGCCGGACCGGATGGCTTCGGTTCTCATGACAAGCTTTTATTCTGAACCGTAGTTTGATCGGAGTCACGGGACCGTGCCATAATATCGGCCGGCCGAAGTACCTAATAATTAACGAAATTTTCATAAATAAAACTCGACTACATTTATCAAACAATTCAACTTGAGGTACACACTTTTCATACACACACGTACACAGGGGCTGAGCTACTAGGGGGTCAGAGCAACTCCAACAAGCACCATCCCCTACACCAAAATGGTGTATTTGGCAAAAAATTGCTCCAATAGTCACACCATCCCCTACACCATTACATCATTTTGGGGGAGAGGCTTTTGCTTTACACCAAATATGGCGTACACCATATCTCACACCATGCTCTTTTTTTATTTATTTTTTTTATTTCAAATGTGACCCAAAGTTTTGATTGTTTTAATTTTGGCCCATTTTTAAAACAACAAATTAGTACTCCCCCGTCTCGCTATGATTGTCCCATTTTACCATTTCAGTCCGTCCCACTAAGATTGTCTCATACCTTATTTGGTAAAGTTTGTGTGGTTCTAAATCATTCCTACTTTATTCTTACTTTATCAATTCAATATCAATCACATAAACCCACTTTTATTAATAATCGTGCCACCTTCTCTTGTCCCAAACTTAGGGGGACGGAGGTAGTATGTTTTTACTTTGACTGAAATTTGTTGGTCTGCTCTGGTTTGGTCTGCTTTGGTCTGGTCTGGTCTAAACTGATGTGGTCTGGTCTGATTTCTTTGTATTTTTATAACTTCCCAAGTCTAATCTAATCCGGTCTGATCTGATTTGAGACAAATTACAGTCCAAGTAAAAACATCCTTATAGAACAACAATTTAAAATTATTAATTTGATAGAAAATAATAAAATTTAAATCACACAATATTATAAATATTTAATTTTATGTGGTTTTAGCTTGTACTTGTGAAATATTGATTATTGTATTTTAATTAGTGAAATGCGTGAAAATAAATATTAAAATGGTGTATTTTAGTTTGTATATGTGAAATAATGTGCGAAATGTCAAAATATTAAATGAGGGGCTAATGTATAAATATATGATAATTAGATACTTAAATAGAAGAATAGTAAAAAGTTAGTAAAAAGAACAAAAAGAGAATATTCTTTTTTGGTGATGAAAATGGTGTAAACTGTTGGAGATAAAATACTGTTTGATGTGATATTTACACCATTTTAGTGTAAAAAATGGTGTAAACTGTTGGAGATGGCCTCAGGGTGGTCAGCCGACCCCGCTGAAAATTTAAGAGTGTAGAGCTCTGAAATATCTTCGATTTGATATATTATGGCTCTCGTAACTCATTACGAGTAAAAAGTTATGACTTCTACAAAATCAGCACTATTTAAGTTTGGAATTAGTAAAATTGTGATACGTAATATTAATTATATTCACAAAATAGCGTGTAATTCACTCGTTACTTACGTGACATGACTTAGGGACAGAGCAAAGACAACATATCTTACTACTACGAGTGCCTATTCAATAAATGATTCTTTTCTAGTAAGAAATCTTGATACTAAACCGAGTAAGATCGAAGAGGTACTAAGGTACTCAACTCAACCCGTATAAAACATATTTATATTATATGTGACATATACGAAGTATATTAACTACATATATTCTATTAGTTTCATATAAACTATCATTTATCTAAGCTACATTCAATTCGGGTATTGTCTAAAAATAATCTACCGTTTTTTATTCTATGTAAATTTGATTTCGACCCCGCTGAGTCATTTTTCTGGCTCCGCCTCTGCACGTACACACGTACACACAACATATTTGAAATACGTTGTGTCTGTGTACAGACAAAAAAAAGAACTTTCACAAACACGAGGGTGTACATCAACAATTTTACATTATATTTTGTTCGGTTTTAACTTTTAAGTCTTATTATATCCGTTCCAAATATTGTGTGATGTTAGTTCTGAAACTTGTATTCAAGTTTCAAATAGTCAAACTTCTTTATCAAACATTAAAACCTTTATTTTCACTTATTTTTTATTGCAAACCAGTCTCATTCACTCCTATTCCTCTCAATGTTATTATTGGATGTTTGGATTTGATTCTTAAAACTGTTTGTACTCCTTCAAGGTGAAAGTATAGAAGTACTTCTGATGCTTTAATTTATTTTAGAAGCATATTTTTTAGAATGTGGGGGGCCAGCTTCCGAAAACTGATTCTCGTTCGGATTTTGCTTTAAATAAGAAGCAGAAGCAGTTCCAAATTGATTCTGCTTCTGCTTTTATTGTTTACTGAGTTTGTGAACTTTTCTTTTTTATTCAGGAAAAATTGAAAATATCGGCGGTCCACGCGCTGACAATAATCCCAACTATTGATTATTTTTGTATAATCCCAACTACATAGACCGTCCGCCAATAATGGTCCATGACCAGATATTACCTCCTATAACAAGTGAATTTTAAATAGAAATTAAGCGTAAAAATTAAACATTGAGATTATTTATAGGGATTACTTGCTATATCTCATCCACTTAAGAAACTACAAGAATTTATTTATAGGGACCATTATTGGCGGAAGATCCCTAAAGTTGGGATTATTCTGGAATAATCAATAGTTAGGATTATTATGAGCGGGCCGCTAATAGTTAAAATTATTACAATCAATTTTTCCTTTTATTTATTTACCAAAACTTTGTCACTGGTTAACTATCTTTGATTTTTCTAATCAATGATGCTAAATTTTGATTGATAATCTATTTGTATAAGAAAATATATAATACGAAGAAAAAATATTAAAAAGTTATCATAAAAAAGTACTACATATAAATTAAGTTTATAAGCTTCACTAAAATATACTCCCTCCGTCCCGAAATAATTGTCCCGTTTTCATTTTCGGTCCGTCCCGAAAAAATTGTCTCATTTCTTTAACTTCCTTATTTGGTAAACAAAACTATACTAAGTAGTGTCAAACAGTGCAAAACAGTATCAAACAGTGTCCCAACAATGTCGCTACAGTGCCAAACAGTGTGCAATCAAATTCATTTTCTTAATCTGTGTGAAAGTCAACCAGGGACGATTATTTCGGGACCGAGGGAGTACTTAGTACTACCAATTACATAGAGTACATCATTTTAGTTGAAATGATTGACCAAAGTTTACTGTTATTATTGTGTGGTAAAGTTGCTAACTAAAAAGAGATGGATTGATAATTACCGAGAGTTATTCATAATTGTGCATTTGTGCTAATTTGTCTCCACACAAAAACTTCAAATACATCATTTTTTTTTACTTATTTCTCATATAAATCAAATTTGTCAATTACCTGTTTTAACCCGTAGTTTCTGATTAATAATCAAGCCACGGCAACATTTGGCTTTGTCTGATCTTCATGAACCGCGATGGAATTCTTGCAATGAGCAATAGCAGCTTGAATAGCAGCATGCAGTTCTTCCATCGTGCTATCACTTGACGCCGTCGACTTCGACGGCGGTTGCGCCACCAGAAGGCCGCTGTTGGTGGGCGACGTTCTGGTAGATGCCGGTGCAGAATACTCCCCTCTCAACCCGCCGCTGAACGCCGACGATCTTCTGCTCGTGATATTATTATCACTTCTGCTGATCCCTCTCGTCACGCTTATACTCCCGGAAGAAAACGAATGCGCTTTCCGGTCGGCGGTTTCCACCTTCCGCCGTTCCCGCTTTATCCCGCCGCCGCCGCCGTTCTTGAACGACGACAAGAGTGGTCTCACCATTCTCATGTATCTCTTCACGACTTGGGTTACATCCCATCTCAGCTTCCTCCATTGCTTTTCCTTCTCTTCTTTCCTTTTCACTTCTATATTGATTTCTTTAATGAGGGTTGGGCAATCGGACTGGTCTTTTCTCCGTTTCGGTAGCCGGAAAAGGGAGAAGCCGGAGGATTTCGCCGGTTTGGGTGCTTTTGGATCTTTGGGTATTTGGGTGTTGGCTGGTTTTGGCAAGTTCTTATTTTTATCATGTAAGAAGTCCTTTACGGGAAGGGTGAAACTGTCGTTGGAGTTGGTCGAGGAGCGGGCGGAGACGGGGAGGTGGGAGAGGAGGCGGAGGGGGAGGAGGTGGCCGTGGAAGAATATCTCATCCGCCGGAGATAAATCGTCTTCGAGTGCGGTGAAGGAAGGTGTGGGTGGCTTGGCGGTGGTTTTGGCTCCCTCATCCGGAGGGGCGGGGATTTTTGTGGAGGATGAAGGGTGGAGGGTGATGGTGAAGGAGAACTCATCATCAGAAGGACATGAGGATGACAAGTGAGGCGGGGAGGCGGCGGTTTGCGGCGGCGGTTGTGATGGCGGCTCTTCGGGTTTTGTTCTTCTTCTTTGGGTGTTTTGGATGGTCATCTTAAAATTGTTTGGTGTGTTCTTATTTTCTGCAGGTTTGTTGTTAGTTGAGGTCTTGGAATTGGGGTGTTCTTTTGCCATATAGGGAATATATGATGGTTTGAGAATGTATAGTATAGTAGTAGTATGGTATGGGAAGCAGACTCCCTCTTAAATATGGAGTATATATCTCAATTATTTCCCTTTTCCATGATTTTTTCCCTTTTCTAATGAGAAGAAAAAAGACGAGGATAGATAAGACAGTGAGAGAATTTGGAAAGGGAGATGTCTTTCAAATTTCACGGTTGTTCTTTTTGGGTCTTCTTGAGATACTGTCATGCAATAGAACCAAAAAACGTTAATGGGATGGGGAGATATTCAAATGAATTGAATCACATTCCACTGTAAAATGTAAATTCCTTCATTCTCATGCATGGATTGAAGTCTCCAAGATGATGAATTTGGGAGACTTTTCTCTAGTTATGATCTTATTATTATAGCTTAGAAGTTGTTCTCTTCGCCTGATCTGAATGTTTCTGATCTGAATGTTTTAAGTTATGATCTGATCTGATCTGATATGATCTGAATCTTTCTGATCTGATCTGATCTGAATTTTTTTTTATCTGATCTGATCTGATCTGATCTGATCTAAATGTTTCTGATCTAGTTTGATCCTGATCTGATCTGAATGTTTCTGATCTAGTTTGATCTGATCTGAATCTCTCTAATTTGATCTAAATGCTTCTGATTTGATTTGAATCTTTCTGATCTGATCTGAATCTTTCTGATCTCATGTGATCTGAATAAAATAAGAATGAGACGAAGAGAACAACTTCTTAATCCCGGAGATAAATTGATGATCGATTGGGTAATCAATGTTAGTCTAGTCTTAGGCGATTCTGTGAAAGTTAGTTCCTTTTTTAGGAAGTTAAAGATGTTATACCAAATACTAGTAGAATTTAGGATTGAGAGGGAAATTAAAGTGAAAACTTACTTAGAGATCGAGAAAGGTGATTGGATTTGATTATATCAATATGAATGAATAAAGTGGGTGTCTATATTACCCATGGAGTGATTATAAACTGTTAGACTAATGAAGTGATTCATAAAGAGTGGTCCTGTCCCAAAACATCACTAATGTTTAGACTTCGTATACATGTAAATCAATATTCAATCATCATTTAGCCTAGTGACGCATAGGCTCCCACCTACAGTAAGATAAGGGAGTTGGATGTACGCAGCTTTACCCTTGTACTAAAGCACAAAGAGACTGTTTCCAGATGACCCATTGTAAAAATCGCGTCCAAAATTTCATGGACTGACTGATGCTTCATAACAAAGAAGCGTAGACAGTCTGATGAGCCATTTTACTTTATTCCTTCATATTTTCAATCTAAAATATAATGAATCTTTGACTTCATTGCAAATGATGGAAAAAGACTTCGTATACATGTGTAGTACACTATTTTGCAAAATTGAAAAAAGTCAACAAAAAGTGGAATTTATTCTATTCAGAAAGAAATTAGGAAAGAAATATCTAAGATATGAAAACATATGTAGCCAAATCGTATAATACAGGACCACAATTGCTTTCTCAAAGTATATACTCCCTCCGTATGTAGTTGTTCTCTACATTATGTTTGGGCACAAAGTTTTAAGATAAAATAGTAGGGGTAATGAATAGTGTAGAAAAAATATGAGAGAGAGTGTAAAAGTATGAAAGAAAAGATAAAAAGTGAAAAAAGTAAGGGTAGTTAAGTATTTTTAAAGGAAAAAATTTATCAAAAAAGGAAAGTGTAGCAAAATTTTTAAATACATCCCAAAAAGAAAAGTGTGACAAATTTTAGAATACGAACTGAGTATATGGGATAAACGTAACTCCTAATAATGAATCATTAACTATTACTCCTAGAATTTCAATGTTTGATGTTATATGATCTTTTATTAAAGGAGTAGTCAATTCCCATTTTCATCTATTTTATTAATATATATACGTATATATCAATTTCATGTTATATTTAAAAAGTACGTAGTAAAATTTTTATATACGGAGTATAAGTTTAACTACAATATATAGGATCATTTTAGTTTCAATTTAACCTCGTAAAATATGAATATCGAGTACGTAGTACTTCGTAGTTCGTATAACACTTCAGTGATCGAAATAAGGGACGGTAATTTTAAATGGAGCATAATTATTAATGACTCGTATTATTTGCTCTGGGGCTCTGGGCATGACTGCGACAATTTCCCGTCTCAATTATATTTGTGCGTGAAGAATTTATTTATGATATACTCCTCCTTAACTTTAAAATCTTCCCATTTGAAAAGTAGGTAGATTAAGAATAGTGAAAAAGAATATGAATTATTGAGGGTATAATAGGAAGATAGTGGAATAAAGTGATGGAATGTAGGATAAATCCAAAAAAAGTAGTTGTAATATAATAGTGTATTATTTTCAGAATTATTGAGGGTATGATGGGAAGATTTAGAAATGTGAAGATTTTTTTGTTACAGACAAAAAAGGAAAGTGAGAAGATTTTAAAGTTACGGAGGGAGTAGTAGTTGTAAAATAAGAATAACTTAAATATATTTTTTGGCATGGATGGAGGGTCCTTTTCATACACGTATAAATAGGTATGGTAACTACGGACGGACTCGAAAATGATGCAAAATGTTTTGTTTTCGGGCCAAAACCCAAAAACCGCAGGTTCCATGTCAAGCTATATAAATTTTGTGAATCTAGAGTGTTTGTACTCAATTTTGTAAGCTAGCTAGCTTTTGTCCACTCATAATTATTCTATCATACACAAATACTCGTATTAGTGTTTACTCTTTCATTCATCCCATATTTTTATGGCATAAATATGATTTGTCTTCACAAAATATATTACGGAGAATATATTATCTTACATCCTATTAAAATTAACTTGTTTTCACCTGTGTAATGTATGCTTTTTTAGTCCACAATCAATCATAACAATCTTCATTTAATAACGAAATAACTCTGACTGTATCAAAAGAAAAAACGAAATAACTCTGACTAATAGCCTTTCATTTTTTGGCATGGCACCCAAAGAATATGCAATTTTAGTTTTAGAAAGTCATTAAAATTATTGAGTTTAAAATGTGAATAATTCACTTTATATTTTTTTTTATTTACTCTTATCTTAGACTCAGAAAGTTATAAGTTAAATTGAAAAGTTTCAATCAAATTTATGCAAGCGACATTATTTTTTTTAAATAGAATGATCTCGATATTAGGAATGGGCGCGCTAAAAAGAAAATAATACATATTAATAGGAAAACAAAATTTTCCATTTCTATAAGGACTAAAACCATATCTAAACGGGAATAATAATTAAAATAACCCAAATTCTAAAAGGATGTGAGGTAAGCACTCCAAACTTGCATATGTAATTTAAATACCTCAAATTTTATATAAAAAGTTATTTTAAAACCATAGTCATGTACTACGTATTATTTCTTTCTAAAAAGTTAATTTTTTGTGTTAATTTCATAATTTAAAATATTTTAGCATTCATGAAGATACAATTAGCATTTTAAACTTCCGTTGGAAAATAAATAATACTACCGCCACTCTATATAATTGCAGCATTTTTAACTTGCAATTTTAATTAAATTGTGCAATTAAAATCATAAATTTACATTTTTTAAAGAAATAATATATGATCATGGTGTTAACTTAACTTTTATATAATGTTTAGGGTATTTAAATTACATATGAAAGTTTTAGGTGTTTATCTCACACTTTTTCAAAATTTAGAATATTTTAATTATTTTTTATTATGTTTATTTTTATTTTAGTGTGAGCATGTTACTATATCAGGATGTTTATCATTATACACAGAGATACGTTTGGATATTTTGCTAGAATTTAATGCTGGCAAAAACTTTGCGATAGATTCATTGTCTGGAACCAGTGGAGTGACCCCACAAAGCATGGCGTATTGTTTGGATAAGAAGCTACGGCGTTCTTCCATTTATCCAAGTCTTTCTAAGCTAGCTTGCATCCTTGATTAATTACTTAATTGGGTAGGTAGTTTGGTAGGTAGTTAGTCTTTTTAGGGTCCAAAACATATATTAATCATAATAGAAATTAATTGGTACTTTAATTTATGAAGATGTGGTTGGCTATGAATTATTTTCGTTACATAAATATCGTCAAGAGTAATATTGATGTGCCCTCCATAAATGATTATAGATGATTACATTACTACCTTTGTAAGCCCGTGCAATGCACGGACGATATGTAATTTAGCTAATTTGAAATTTGATTTCTTTCGTATCATATGTAATGTGATTTAAAAGAAAAATAAACTTAGTCTAATATAGAGTCTGTTTGATAATACTAAAATAAATCGAATTAACTTATTTTATTGAAATTCATTAAATTCTGTCTGAATGGGCTGAATAGGTGAATCTCTTGAATCATGAAAAAATATGTAAAATATATTCCATTTGTGAAGCCAAGAAAAGATTGTATGAAAAATAGTTAAATTGATCTTCTACATAAGCATCTCAAACGTTTTCTTCTACTATTCCTTATTCAACTTGATATGAAATACCGAGTGAATACTACTAACTTTCAATAATAAGATATTACATTTTACTCATTATTTTGTCACGCTGTAAATGTAAAAAATGTAGTTTTTTTTTTACATTTTACTCATTATTTTGTTATATTGAAAACAATTTTTAATTCTTATGAACATCTAAATTACTTTATTGAGAATTTAAAAATAATACTTTTCTAGTATTTCTCATTCAACTTGGTATGAAATACACATTTTAAAATTTAATTGTGAGATCTTACATTTTACTCATTAATAAGGACGACTTTAATTGAATTAAAATTTTGGGTTTGATTTGGTATGAATTAATATGTTCTGGTAGATGTTTCTTTTACATTTTGTGTGACTTATTATTATTATTATTATTATTATTATTATTATTATTATTATTATTATTATTATTATTATTATTACGTAGTATTATTAAAGTTTGATCTGATCTGATTTAATCTGGAACTAAAATCAATTCAATTAAAAAAAATTCTATTAAAATAAAAGTAGGTATTTGTGAACAGGTAAAGATTTTCTAATTTGGATTAGGAATCTATTTCAAAAGTGAAGGCACG